GGTAGGTATTATAGGACAGTTCTGAGGCCCTTTCACTTATTAATATGTTATTTCAGCCATGTGTAAAAAATGAAGTCCCATTGCTGTAACACCTAGATGCTTGCAAAAAAGGTTATATTTAGATAATGGTTTTGTTGCATCCACGAGGATGATAGTTTTCTCTTTCAGTTACTGTATTTGTCAATATAATGCAGACACATTTTTTTCAGTGTCCCCTTGTGTTGCATATTTTAAGCCAGAATCTGAATGGGACTACTCTGAATCTACCCCAGCAAAAATGAGATGAAAATCTGATCTTTGCAATCAGTCATAGGCATGTTTACTAGTGTTGAATGCATTCTAAAAAACCACAATTTTGATAAGAGCTTTCAAAAAACACAGAAGCTATGAAAGAAGACTTCAAAAGATACCATGATATAAATAAATAGTTGTTCTTATTTTCTTTATAAGATATATGTTTAAATATAATTCACCCCTTTGTAAAGTTATTTTGGAAACCAACAATGCCTTTTGTTCTAGTGTGAAGTGTATGTTGTGGAAAAACCATAAAGAATGGACTTTTTTTTTTTAATTTAGGGTTTGGAAGACTATCAGAAATAACTTCATAGCTACAGCCTGATGGAAAATGTGCAATTTAGCCCTTGTGAAAGTGGCATAATATTGCACTGACCTGCACCATTTGTTGTTCAGTAATCAGTGCCAGACCTATGTACAGTAATTGTGAAATTAAAATTCTTAATGTAGTACACAAAAAGCTGCATTAAGATAACATTAAACGTCTCACTCAAATACACTTAGAATAGTCATTTCAAAATTAAACATTTCTTTTTAAACTTAACTTACACCACTGTGCCTAAGGTTTGCAACCTTTATAAGGAAAATTCCATACCATTCACAGACATAAGTGTAGCTACTGTGTGACTTGAGTGAAAACCTCTGTGACTCACCGATATTCTGAAGGTTAACATTAGCATAGTATCATCTGCTACCAGATCAATGATGGTTTACTATCCTGCTAAAACTATATCTCTTCAACATTTGCTTGAAAAATGTAATTATAATATAGCATTTGAACAGAAGTTGCATCTTAAAAACCAAAAATCTTGGACATTAAAAAAAAAGTTGGAGGTGCTGCTAGCAGCTCTAATATGAAGGTTGTGTTAATATCTGCAGTTTAACCCTTACTAAAATCTGGTCTTCTAAAAATCCTCAGTGATTCTTCAGCAAATTGATACGCTAATGGCTTGATCGAAAGCTCCTTGATGTCAGTGGGAAAGCCCTCTTCACTCAAGCTTCCCAACTGATTTACTAGTCTGTTTCAGGCCCAAATATACCCCAAGACCATTTGTATTTTCTATGAAGTTCTTTTGATCAATAAGTCTAATATGTAAAAAAGGAAATCTTTATCACAACATGCAAAAGTGCATTTCAGTGGAATTCATATTCTTACAAAGAAATTCTTTACTTCAAAAATCAAATATTAGGAACTCTGGAAATTATTAGTTGTGGGATCTAGCCAATTTCCTATCAATATATCATTCATCCTCACTCATTATTAGCCCATCTGCTACACAACTCCCCCAGAAGTTTAAATTTGCCCTCTAAAGCTTACTAAACAACACATTGCTAGGCGTTTTTAAATACCACTTCCTATTCAAGATATTAAGTCTCCATACACTTTAACAGTAATATAAAAATAACACAGCAAAATATCTTAATATAGCCTTGATCTTGCAATCGACTCTGCAAAGGTTTAGGGATCCATTCAGATATAGCTCATTTTAGGATCAGGTTCTTTGTTAGCTGTTACAAGAAATATTTAATATGATTAATAAATGCCAGTCAGGATGGTTTAATGAAAAATAGATGTTGTCAGACAATTCAGATTTCATTCCTTCTGGGGACACATTTGGTTGATAAATGTGTAGCTATAACATACTTAGAATTTTGTAAAGTATTTCACTTAATACCACATGACATTCTGATTAAAAATTAGGACTACATGATATCAATAGAACATACTCTTAAGTGAATTAAAAACTGCTAATTGACAGATCTCAAAAAGTAGTTGTCAATGGGGAATCAACGACAGAGAAATTTCTTTTGAGGTTTCAGAAGGGTCAGTACTGAGCTCAATACTTCTGGAAGTAAACATAAAATTGCTGCTGATCAAATTTGTGGATGACACAGAGGTAGGATTAGTGGCAGTTATGAGGACAAGACAGTTTTATGCCTCACATCTTTTAGAATTGTTTGAGAGATTCAAAAAAGCTTCTGAGCTAGGGTGATCGAGTGAATGTGGTGTACTTGGATTTTTAGAAAAATCTTCGTGAAAGGCATTAGGCAAATAAACAGTCATGGGATAAGACTGGTTAAAAGAAAGGGGAAGAATAAATTATCAGTTTTAATAGTTGAGGGAGATAAAAAGTGGGGGTCCCTCCTCCAGGAGTCTGTACTGGGACCTGTTTTTCAGCATATTTGTAAATGATCTGAAAAAGGGTGTAAACAGTAAGGTGGTAACATTTGCAGATGATGCAAAATTACTCAGAGTGGTTAAATCCAAAGCTGACTATGAAGAATTGCAAAGGGATTTCAGCAAACTGGGAAACAACAGGGTAAAAGAAATTCAGTAGTGTTAAATGTGAAGTGATACACACATTGGAACATATAACTATATATACAGAATGATAGGATCTAAATTAGCCTTTACCATTCAGAAAAGAGATTTTGGAGTCATGGTGGAATATTCTCTGAGATCATCTCAATGAATAGCCTCAGTGGGGAAAAAAAAACCCTAACAATGTTAGGAATCATTTGTAAAGGGATAGATAATAAAACAGAAAATATCATAATACCATTACATAAATCCATTATATGCCCACACATTTAATACCTCATGTACTTGTGATCACCCCATCTCAAAAATACTGTAAATATTTATATTGTTAAAAGAGAAGAGCAAAATTCTATTAAGGGTATGAAGCACTTTCCATATAAATATATGTTAAAAAGACCTGGGACTGTTCAGCTCAGAAAAGAGACAACTGAGGGGTGATATGACAGAAGCCTATAAAATCATGACTAGTGTAGAGAAAGTGAATAACGAAATGCTATTTACCTCTTCTCATAAAAAACATACAGAAAGAGTTACCCAATGAAGTTAATAGGCAGCAGTTTTAAAACAAAAAATAATGGAGTAATTCTTCACATGATGCACAAACAGCTGTTCAAAAAATAAATAAGTTCATGGAGTATAAGACCATCAATGACTATTAGCCAAGATGGTCTGGGATGCAGCCCCCCAGCTCAGTATGTTCCTAAACTTCTGACGGCTAGAATCTGGGACTATCTGACAGAGAATGCGTTGTTTGATAACTGCCCTCTTCTGCTTATTCCCTTTGAAAAATCTGGCACTGGCTCTAGGGTAAACTGAGGCAGTCCACTGGCCACTCTCAGAAGACAGGATACAGGTCTGAGTGGGCCATTTTGGTCTTACTCAATATGGCCCCTCTTTTGTCCTTATAATGAACTCTTATGGCACTTAAACTTAATTCAACACATATTGTTCAGGTTATTGCTGGTAACTGCCATATCTGTCACTCAAACTAAAAAGTGATGGTTTCTTCATGTCTTGATGCATTGAAATCAGCCTGAATATCTTTCTAGAAGATACGCTGTAGTCAGCCAAATACAAGTTATTGGGTTGGATACATTTGTAACTGGATGAAATATAATGGGGTGTGATATGCACAGGATCAGAATAGATGATCTACTTGTCTCATAAACTATCTGAACATATGAGTTTAAAACTCCACCTACACTAGCTTAAACATCATAAAATCAACACATTTTATAACACCAAAGACAGATCTTTCCAGTTTAATTCATAAAATATTTTTCCTATCCACCAACATATCACAATGAAAACTTATGGAACTCAATGTATTCTGAAAGTGTATATCTTTTAAAATCTTTGCTACACATTTAATAAATCACATATCTAATCAGCAGTATTCATCCAAATGCAATAGTTCCAATACAGACAAAAAGGATGGCAAAATAGGGCTTGAATGGCTGGTATATCAGGTAAAAATGTGTTCTGAATAGTGGTGGGGAACTGGATTGATTCCATATTATTAACTTTGGACTTTGTGTGTATGCATTTATTAATTTTAAATACATATTTTGGTAGAGATTCCATTGCAATGTACTTCCCACCATCACTCATTTTAATCAACACTGTTTGTGAATTCTGCACATTTCTCATAGAAATTAAGATGGAGTACTTGCTTTTGATGAAATAGCTTTGAACAAATGGTCTTGGAACAGTACGGTCTCCTGCAGTAGCTCAAACTTTCCTGACAAGTGATTCTTCCCGCAGACTGTTTAATTTAACAGAAGGTCATTGTGTGCTTAACAAGACAGCAAAAGGACATTTTAACCTGTAATGAAATGGAGGAAAATGTTTTTAATTAGGAATTAGTTGTGTAGTTCTGAATGTAGCAAGAATTGTTTTTAAAGTCTTTTAAGTTCTGGTTAGTGGTCACAGTATGGTATCATTCTGTTGTTAATTGTAACCACTAAGAAATTAAAATCTCATTTAAACTGGGAACATTTGTAGTTTTTTATCAGAATGACATACAGTCCTTTGGCTGAGTTGGATTTTAATTGTGTTCCAAGAGATAAATGACCAGAGGTTGATTAATCCAGTTACCCCACTGTTAAGCCTTTTTTTTCTTCATACAATATTTTTAATGATCTTAGAATAAGAATTCTGTACTGCTGAGAATCAAATAACTAACCCATAATGCCTTGTATAAAAAGAGTGGACAGATTAATGCAGTAATTTCTCACCTATTTATTTAAAACTATTTTTCTCTGAGGACATAATGCCTGACTAGCGCTGTCTATGTCCACGCCTGCAGTAATAAGAATAAAATGAATGTGAGTTGTGTCACTGTGCAGTCTATCAAATTAATTTGTTTATTTGTTTATTTCAGCATAAAGAACGTCACTCCAAAAGTAGGGGATGCTGAAACCCGCAAAGCCATTCGCCGTGCCTTTGATGTGTGGCAGAATGTAACTCCTCTGACATTTGAAGAAGTTCCTTACATTGAATTAGAAAATGGCAAGAGGGACGTGGATATTACAATCATTTTTGCATCAGGTTTTCATGGAGACAGTTCTCCCTTTGATGGGGAGGGAGGATTTTTGGCCCATGCTTACTTCCCTGGACCAGGAATTGGGGGAGACACTCATTTTGACTCAGATGAGCCATGGACTTTGGGAAATCCTAATCATGATGGTAAGAGCAGATTTCTGTTTAAAAATAGTGAATTAAAGTATGGTGTTCATTTCCAAAATCAGAAAACAATTTCCATGGGTGGCAGGTAATAAAGGCAAGAGAAAGAATTGCCTACTTAAACAGACATGGGTATCCCCTCGCATGCTATGCCCTACGCCAGGCCCCCTGCAACCTACCTTAGTCAGATGCTGGAGCTGGATGAGGAAGGGGCGGACTGGTGCCAGGACCGGCAGCATGGTCCATGATTCCCAGCCTTCTAGCGCTCTGGGACTGGGAAATCTGGGGAATGTATGGCTGCCTGGCAAACTGGCACTCCAGGGCTGGGAAGGAGGCCATGTTGCTGCCCGGCACTCCAGGGCCAGGAAGGCTGGGGCCAGCTGGCTTTCTAGAGCCAGGAAGTCTGGGGCCATGTGACGGCTTGGCACTCCAGGGCCAGAAAGGCTGAGGCCACCCAGCAATCTGGGGTTGGGGAGGCTGGGGGTATGCAGCGTTGGCTGCCTGGCAGCCCAGGATGGAGGATACACTAGCCTTAGCTAGGGGCCAGTCAGTGCCACTATGGGGAAGGGGGCTAGGGTGTGGGACAGGGGCCAGCAGTTACAATAGGAGCTGAGTGGGCATATTGGGTGGAAAAAGTGGGGCTGAAGGCTAGCATCTCCAAGCCAGCCAATTACCAACCACCCATGATGATTTTCATACTTTCCTGTGCACCTAAGGATCTATAAGTAATCCCCTAATTCCTTATTAATGTAGAAATATATCAATCAATATGTGGTCTGTTAGGGTCTTAAACATTAAATGATTTTTATAAATGTAAGTTACATAATTATTGTTTGTCTTTAAAGATAGATGGAATTACTTGTAGGAACTATCGAGTTCATCCGACCATTGAATTATTTACATAATGTGCCTTTCATGCATGTTTTTTTTTTTACTATATTATGTTTATTTTCGACAGATCCGCATCTAGACTGCCGTTTTTTTTTTTTTTTCCGAAAAAGCTCAGTTTTGAAAAAAAGCGGTGGCCATGTTTATGCTAATGAAGCGTGGGATACTTAAATCCCCGCTTCATTAGCAATTTCAACATGCCTAATCTATATCTCTCTGTCGACAGAGAAGTGTAGTCTAGACACAGTGTTAGAGGGCAAGTGTTACAAATGCATCATAACCAATTACCAATTATAGCTGTCTGTTGGAAGCCAGAAAATCCAACAAGAAAGAGGGGTAGGCCTAGGATGACTTGGAAGATATGATTATTAATGACACAGAAAAATTTAGATCACATGGCAGCTGATAAACAAGCCTGGAGAATGCGGGTAGCCCAATGTGCTGAAAAGCATGGGATGGACTAATATCTAGGGTAAGGACTAAGGTCTAAGGGTACGTCTAGACTACAGGCTTCTGTCGACAGAAGCTTTGTCGACAGATACTGTCGACAAAGCTTCTGTCGACAAAGAGCGTCTAGACTACATTCAGTTCTGTCGACAAAGCAAACTGCTTTGTCAACATGGTAGTGTAGACGCAAAGGACAGTTTACATGCAATAACACCTTCTGTCGACAGAACTCTGTCGACAGAAGGCGTTATGCCTCGTAAAAAGAGGTTTACCAGCGTCGACAAAGCTGCTAAGTTCTGTCGACATTGTGTCGACAGAACTCAGCGGTAGTGTAGACGCAGGTATAGTTTTGTCGACAAAAGTCCACTTTTGTCGACAAAACCCTGTAGTCTAGACACACCCTAAGGTAACTTAGAGCATGTCTATATTAGGAAATTATTTTGAAATAACTTATTTTGAAATAATAACTCCCAATATAATAATTTCAAAATAGCGTGTCCACATTACAGAGAAGTCTCGAAATAAGTCTGAGGCAGGCTCCCTTAATGTGGATGTGCTACCTCAACTTAGAGCAAGCACTGGGAGTAATTACTTTGAATGACTCTGGGGAGTGGTTATTAAAAATAGCAGCAGTGGAGCATTATTTCTCGTGGAAAGCAGGAGTTACTATTTCAAAATAACCAGTCCCTTATTTCGAAATAGTGGGCCTGATAGTGTGAATACTCAGCTTGTTATTTTGAAATAACAAGTTAGACCAGGGCTTAGAAGGAAAGATCCTGATATCTGTATCATGAACAAGGGTAAACTGCTATATCATGAAAATCCATATACTTTTTTATATTATCTATTCACAATTTGCATTTGTAAAATTAATATCCCATGTGCTTTTGTGCATCCATTTATAAATTATTGTTCCTGTTACAATGGAACATACTGTCAGGAACAAAACAGACTGGTGTCGTTAACCAAGATTCCACAGTATTGTGAGACAGAAAAGAGATAATTCTCTTAGAAAAGTAAGAGTGCTCCGAAATTTTGGTGACTGGTGGATTGGCTGTTGAGATGATATATAATCTAGTCTGAATGCGGCACAAGGGCTCAGTGTGCTGAAAGTGAGAAGCTGAGAAGGATATCCTGTTGTTGAACTACAATTTATTCCTTTATATTTTATGGTTTACTAATATAGTTGTTCTTGCATGATGTAGTACAGTTATTATCTAGTATAGTCTGTATAACATTTAAAAAAATGATAAAAGATAGAACATCAGTGACATATTTTTTAAACTCTCCCCAAAATGTTGCACGTATTACTTAGCTAAATTTGTTTATCTCTCTCTCTCTTTCCTGTCCTACGGCTCTACAGTGATTGGGGGAGGGAGGGAGGGGAAACAGAACAGCTTGGTTATTTAGCAAAAATGCAAATCAGGGACCCTCTTGATAAGTACAAGGCTCATTTTCCACAGTATATTGCACTGCTAATGATGGCAATTTGAATTCTGTCTACCTCAAAAGAGATAAACAACTTCTTGGAGTGCTAGTAAAACCTTAATACATTGTTATTCTGTTTTCCATAAATTTTGTTTTGGCTATCCTAATTTTGAAGCACTTGAATTAATATAAAAGCAGTGAGAAAAATCAAGTTTTGTTGAAAACCAAAACATGACCTGAAAGAAACATGTGTAAACTAGTACTTTGTACCAGCTCTCTGTTTGTGGTTATATTCTAATATTACTTTATACTGACTGTCACAATCGTGACTGTCATCACCAGGTTTTTTGCTTTGATGTCCTGGTGTTCTGTGTTCTTATTATGCTTGCTTTGAATGGGTTTATTAATGTCACAGTCTGAAATGACAAATCCAAAGGGAATATAACTTTTCTGTATTGTATTGCCTCTTACTTCCATTCTCACCCAATGCTATGGACCACACAACTCTCAAGTTGTTCATGTTGTGTGAAGAACTTCACTCAACTCTCCCCATAGGTGCATTCTGAAGGGAGACACACATGCGGCGAATGTGCTTTCCACTTAGTCAAAGTCCTTCTCTCTCACAGCTCCACAGTACCTGTGACTCAAAACCATTTGTTTCTGTGAGGGCAATGTGATTTTGGAACAGATAGTTCAGGGAAGAGAAGAGGAGAAAGAGGGGATGTGTGTGTCTGTGTGTGGCTCAGGATAGAAAGATGATAGTCAGTGTGTTTTATATATTTGACTGCATCTGACTCCACCTGTCCTTTGTGTGTCACTTACTATTTTAGCCCTTCAATCTTCCAGTTGCTCCATGTGAGTGGGCCCTTTAATACTGGTTCCCCATTTACTTCTGGGGTCTGTCTCTACACTCCAAGATCAAGGCCTTTAGAGTTCTGTAAATTCTCTGTGCTGAGAACAGTGACTCTATATGTGTGATCCACTCCTTGTCTAGTGGGGCCCTAATCCTAATTAAACCTCTGCATACTACTGTAAAACAAACATGACTAATGGTGTATGAGAGGATGTAGGGAGGACAGTGACAGAATGAAGAAACATTGAAGATAAAAAAAAAAACAGAGTGGAGGTCAAATCAGAAAGGGAAGAGGGGGAAACTATGAGGAAACTATGGGGAAAAAAAGATTAAACATTTTTGAATAATTAATCAGAATAAATACAGGCAGTCCCCGGGTTACGTACAAGATAGGGACTGTAGGTTTGTTCTTAAGTTGAATTTGTATGTAAGTCGGAACTGGTACATATTGTAGGGGAAACTCTAGCCAAACATTTCTCCAGAGCTCAGTTTTATTCTCCCACACCTCACTTCCCTCAGCCCTTTATTCTCAAGCTGAAGTGTCTGCTGAGAAAAGCCGCTCCACCTCTCCCTGGTCTGCTGGGGTGGGGGGGCGCTAGCTTCGCATCTCCCTGGTCTGCTGGGGGGTGTAAGTAGAGATCCGATGTAAGTCGGATCCATGTAACCCGGGAACTGCCTGTATACCAAATACTGAAAAATTGGGATATAAATATTGCAAAGGAAGAGAAAAGCAAAAGAGAGAATAACCCCTTCCCTCCAATTCCATAAAATAGCTGGTGCTTTATTCACATCTGTTTCACATGGATTTGGGTGCTTTGATAAAAAAAAAAATTGAATTTTCCAAGCCTTCAGTTTATGCAGAGATGAGTAAACCGCTTGGATGTTTTTTGATTCGCTGTGAGCCACCATAAGCCAACATTATTGAAGTGGCAAGAGATTCAGGAGCTACCAATTCTGTAGTAACTGCTGTATTTGAGAGTGATAATGGCCACTCTTCTTTCCACACCTCTGTAGTGCGCTATTTCAAGATATTCCAGTACAATGATAAGCACGTGTTATGCCGGAGACACAGAAGGTTGCATATCCTTAAAATACAGAAGGGTTAAGTTCTGTTCACCTGCATTGTGCTGTGTATGTAAATGCCAAACATTTACTTAAAATTATGAATTTGGCTCTCTTGAAGGTTTACAAATAGCAAAAGAAATAAAAAAGGAAACGCCATGCATGCAGTGGCACAATTTATGGTACAGGCATACCTCTTAACATTGCCATTAAAGGAATTATAGAAGCAAAAGTAGTACTGAGCGTGTGAGTAGATCATTTTTTCTACACACACACACACACTTGGAATGATCCAGATATTTTAAAATATTTCTATTAATCATCT